GGGAGTCAGCGGCCTACCTCACAGTCATGACGCGATACCTGACTAAACTATACCAGGTGAAACACGCGTTTTTTCCTCCATCTCCCGTCTCACTGACGTAAAGCATTCCTTAGCCAGTCAAGTCTTAACCCTCAAAATAAACTGTTTTTTCAGGGTGATGAAGGAACATCAGTGCTGCTCACTGACATGTCTTTAATAGTTTTTGGATGACACTGGAGCTGTAATGCTCAGACTCCTTCTCTCCTTTTAAATTTGCTTTACACTTTGCTTTATCGTTTTTGTTCCTTCTTTCAGAACTGTACACTGATCTGTCGCTCCAGAGAGCTGGAGGGTGATGGAGGGAGTGACGAGCAGGAAAGAGGGACCCCCTCCTGCTCTCTCATTTCTTTTGCTGAGTTCAACCACGGTGCTGTCAAAAACAAGGTGTGTGTGTGTGCGCGTGCGCGAACAGTGGGACCTTCATCTCTGTGCTTTCTTTAAATGCAGTGTGAATAAAGTAATCATTGCTCCCCTCTGTGCCTTTTCAGTGTCAGACAGTGAGAGAAGTGTTTGCCAGACAGTTGATGCAGATTAGCGGTTTGTCTGGAGACAAGGCGGCAGCTATACTGGAGCACTACAGCACTCCACACAGGTGACTCACGCACTACGTCTGTGTACAGACATTTCACTCGCTCTCAGGTATCATTACCCATCGTCTCCCCTTTTTGCCTGGTAAATTTTATAGGGCCGGTGCAATAAGAAGTGACATAACTCTTCTCACAGCAAAGGTCTACTCAGATTAAATTGAAAGAAAGAACTGGGTAGTGAGCAACATGCAGGGATGGATATCGTGTATACAAAATATCATAGCTTCATTTTCAAAAACCTACTTGAGGAAAACATTTTGACACACAGGTGATTACCAAAACGTCTGAATTGAGCACTTAGCACAAGACAACACAGTGCTACGTAATCAGATGACATGAGCACGTACTTTGAAGTGCAGCTTATGTTTTGCGTAGTACAATGCAGACAAGCCGTTTCCACATGTTAACTAGATGTCTATGAAGATTCTCAGTCATCCGGGTCATAGTTATCCAACGAAGGTTAAAGTCAAGGGCAACTGGATTTGGTTGAAGCTACTGGAAGACGTTTCGTCCCTCATCCAAAGGACTTCTTCAGTTCTGACTGACTGGCAGGGAAACTCAGCTATTTAACCTCAGTGGGGTCGTTGGCCCGGGTCATCGATACAGCTGGTTCGTTAGTGTTCCTTGTTGCTGTGACGACAGTCGTTACAGTCGTTGAGACTACCGGTGGCCAAGATTGAACGACCATCGTTGGTATCTTCACCTGAGGCCAATAGGTTACGTTTGTTGAGTTTCCTGGGAAGTGATGAAAGGACAGCATTGTAAGTGGGGGATAAGTGGTGGCGTAGACCCCCTCCCCTGTTCAATGACGGCTTCTCAACCCTGGTGTAGATAGCTTCCTTGACACCTCTTTCAAACCATCCATCTTCTCTGTCTAAAATGTGCACCTGGTGGTCCTCAAACGAGTGTCCTCTGTCCTTCAGATGTAAGTAGACTGCAGAGTCCTGACCTGAGGAGTTGGCCCTTCTGTGTTGAGCCATGCGTTTGTGTAGTGGTTGTTTAGTCTCCCCAATATAGAGGTCAGTGCATTCCTCACTGCATTGGACCTCATACACTAGATTGCTTTTCTTGTGTTTGGGAGTGCGGTCTTTGGGGTGTACCAGCATCTGTCTTAGTGTGTTCTTGGGTTTAAAAAACACAGGGATGTTGTGTTTGTTGAAAATCCTCCTGAGTTTCTCTGATACTCCAGACACGTATGTACAATGTTGTTGCATTTGACCTTCTTTTCCTCCCCTGTAGTTTTGTTCTTCTTGGATATTGTGGCTGTTTTCACAAAGGTCCTTTTAGGGTATCCACAGGCTGTAAGTGCCCCCTTCAGGTGGTTCTGTTCCTTCTCTCTGGCTTGGGTGCTTGTTGGTATGTTTTCCGCTCTGTGGTGCAGTGTTCTCATGACCCCTAGCTTGTGCTCCAGTGGGTGGTGTGACTCGAACAGTAGGTATTGGTCTGTGTGTGTGGGTTTTCTGTAAACACCAATCTGCAGGCTCCTGTCCTCTTCAATGTGTACAGCGCAGTCCAGGAAGGCCAAACTGTTGTTGTGAACATCTTCTCGTGTGAACCTGATGTTACTGTCCACAGAGTTGATGTGTTCTGTGAAGGCTTTCACTTCCTGGCTTTTTATATTGACCCAGGTGTCGTCCACATATCTGTACCAGTGGCTCGGTGCTGTTCCTCTGAAGGAGTTGAGGGCTTTACTCTCCACTTCTTCCATGTAGATGTTGGCCACAATCAGGGATACCGGTGAGCCCCTGGCACAGCCATGCTTCTGTCTGTAGAATCCACCGTTGTACTGGAAATAGGTGGTGTTTAGACAGAGGTCGAGTAATTTACAGATTTGGTCAGGGCTGAGGCTAGTTCTATTGTCCAGGGTGTTGTCTTGTGTTAGCCGTTTCCTAACGGTTTCTACTGCCTCTATGGTGGGGATGCAGGTGAACAAAGAAGTCACGTCATAGGATACCATGGTTTCATCTGGATCCAGTTTTAGTCCTCGAACTTTGTTTACAAAGTCAATAGAGTTTTGGATGTGGTGAGGCGTGTTTCCCACCAATGGAGCTAAGATGGTGGAAATGTGTTTGGCAATGTTGTAGGTGACCGAGTTAATGCTGCTGATAATCGGCCTGAGTGGGGCTCCTTCTTTGTGTATCTTCGGTAGTCCATAAATGCATGGAATGGATTCTCCAGGATACAAACGGTAATATTGTTCACGGGTGATGGTGTCGTCCTTCTGTAACTGTTGTAGACATTCTATGGCCTTTTTCTTGTATCCACTGGTTGGGTCTCGTCTCAGTGTCTCATACGTGTTTGTGTCCATTAGTAGTGTGTTGACTTTGTTCTGGTAGTCAACACATGTTAACTAAGGATTAATAACTATTAGGCAACAGGCAAGTTGAAAGCTTGACAGGAGTTCTCACTCACCTGTATGACAGACAGATTAAAAATATAGTATGTGTATTTAATTTTTTTTTCCCATCTTTCTGCCTCTCTCCAATTTCTCAATCGCAGTCTTCTGACAGCCTATGAACAGTGTGCAAGTGAAGCAGAGAAAGAGAAACTCCTCTCTTCCATCCGATATGGGAAGCTCAAAAGGTTTGTAGCGTAATTTGATTTCTTTCCTAGCAATGGTTCCTGTGTTAACGACACAAATTACAATACTTGAGTTGAAGCACTGCGACTTGACTGAAAATATACTGAACTAGAAGTTAAGCTACTGTCAAAAAATGCACATTAATCTTATTAACAACATTTTAATAACAAAAACATGAGTACAGATTAGCCTTGTCTGGTGTAAAACTCCTCCAGTGTTGGTCATTTCAATGTAAGTTAAAGGGTTATGTTCACCTGTGGATTCTTCCCGTGGGATAAACTGAAAGATGAAACAAGAGCTACTAGTGATTGCAATGGGTTAATGCTTAATTTCCTGTCTTTGTTTTTTAGGAACCTGGGTCCAGCTCTGAGCAGAACAGTGTATCAGCTGTACTGCACTCAGGGAGCTCTGTCATAGCTGCACACGGACACTACTTCAGATAACATTCGGATACAGACTCGAGCTCGCTCATCTTGTAATGTGAACATATTCAGTCGTTCATTTCCAGTTTCCTAATTTAATTGAATAGAATTGACTTGAGGATAATTAACATGTTGATGTAAATGTGAAGATGCTGCTATATTTTCGTTACTGTAAAAGAAAATGCTACTTGTATAAAGAATTTAACAAATGTACCCCAATGCTGCGTCAATAAAGTTTATTTGTAATATTCTGTTTTAATGCAAATTTTATGGCCATGTCTTGTAGAGAGACTGTATGAAAGTCTAGTTTTAAGAGCTTCCTTGTTTTAGTTTGTGCTCAAATTGTATTTTAATACAGACAATTTGATATGTACCTACTTGGACAACACACACATTAATTATCTTATTGTAGCTTCCACCCACCATCTATACTTTTTAGTCGCAATTCTGGGGGAGTGCGTGTTGACATGTTGCAGTTTCCTCAAGCTGCCACTAGATGTGACTAACTAGTCATAATTTAACTGACAGCACTTTGAAATTAACGTCCTCTGAAAACAGTAAATGTGCGCAGTGGAGAATTGGACAATAACTTTTGGCACTTCAGTGAATTGCCTCATAAATGAAAGTTATTCATCAATAGAATCAGAGTGGATTCCCTTCACAGCAACTTTAAGAGGCAACAAGAGAATGAGGGCAAAGTCCAAGCTTGATTCAGTTAATAAAAAAGGACCGTACTGTGGTTTTTCACGTTTTACCTCACATTCTATAAATAAGATTTTAAATGACTTGGAGGCAGGTACATCTACATGCTGCGACAGATTTATATTGCTCCTGTTTGATCACAGATGTTGATGGCTTGTGACAAATACTGATTAACCTTTGCGATATTTTATGATCCTGTAAGTCGTGTGTTTTATGTCTGCAACCCTGTTTGTGCTGCTTCCCTTCTTGGCCAGGATGCTCTTGTAGAAGAGATTTTAAATCTCAACGAGACTTTTGCTGGTTAAATAAAAGGTTATAAAAATATAAATAACTTGAAACAGGTTTACAAAAAATGCTCCCATTTTTTTTAAAATACGTTTTTCTGTAGGATATAAATATGTGACGACTATTGAAACTTGTTTGAGTTGTGTGATCACTTGTAATGAGCTGCATCAATTTTGTCATAGTTACATTATTTTAGACTGAAATTATACTTGATAACTCAGCTCGAGCAAGTTTCAAGACTTGAGAGTTATTCTCATATCATCCTTAAAACTCACGGAAACAAATAGATGCCGAGGCATTAGGAAAAACACCCACAAAAAAAAAATATAAAACTTGCAGCTGAAAATGGTCAGCAACAATTATGAAATTGAAAGAGCCAAAACATGCTGGTTGTGCAAAGTTTATGCAGCTAATTAACTGAAACATTTTACTTGACCCAGCTGTTTTCAGTAAACAACATCAGCGCATCATTCTGACTACATTTGATATGCTCAATGTGCAGAAGCTGAAGGAGACTTATAACCCTGCACATGAAAACTCACAGCAGCCACTAATCAGTATCCTTCTTCTACCTCATGTGGACGACTGGCCAAACGCAGGCAAGAAGAAGAAACACCGACTGTAGCCTGAGTATGTGATGCAGTGCAGGAAGTCATCCATTACCGCTACTGCACTTGAGACTGGTAAATCAAGTACATCACATGATTTGATGCAAATGACTGACGTAACATTATGACATCATGCGGTTTAAGGCTGGATTTGTATTTTTCCTCAGTTGAATTCTAAAATAAATATGTGGACAATGTCTGGTGCTTGCTGGAAATCCACCAGCCATCACCAGGAGAACCTCAGGTTGCTCTACGTGCAGCATTAGACAGCAGAGTAATGAGCAAATCAGACCAATTTAATGGGAAAAAAAGACAATATGTAGAAAATAAATGTACACACAGCATGCTGGACACTCCAGCAGTCAGCCTGTCCAACAAAAATAACACAAGAGACGTAGTTTTACTCTGAGTAACTTGAGAAAGTGAGGAAATCTGGCAATGTGCGCACACAGACAGGGAATCGCAGGAGTTTCACTACTCACATGTGGATAAAAAAAAAATAAACTAGTTAAAGCCAATGTGTAGGATTATTATTTTTTCTATTTAAACAAGCAGATGGCAAAGCACGGCCCCCCAAATACACCATTTGTTACAGGGCCCCAAACATGTATTTATTGAATTAGGTGTCTCACATGGGAGATACCGTGCAATTACGAATGGCAGAAAGTTTTGGACAAACCAGAAAGGGAATTGAGAAGCTTATTCGGTGGTTCGCAACCGGTTTGACTCTGTCTTCATTGAATATGGTGACCTCTGAGCATTTGCACAGATGGTTGTTACATTGAAACAGGAGTGGATGATTGTTTGCAAATACACTTTCCCCCCCCCTGCCTCCCACCTTCAAACCCTGCCGTCTCCACTCTGGTCCCTAACTTAACAACTTCCGATATTTACATCAACAACAAAAACAGGAATACAAAAAACTGACAGGTCAGACAGGTTTTACAAAGTGCCATTTCCATTGTTCTCTTTTTAAAGAAAATGCTCAGATTAGTTCAGATCTGCCCAAAGTACTGTACATTAAAGGAGTTAATGATTGCTGTAAACGTTCTCTCTGTCCACACTGGCCATGAAGCTCAACACTAATGTAAGAAACGTGGGACAAAATCAAGTGTCCTTATAATGATGCATTCTGACTTCCAGCTGAAGCTAAAGAGGCTCCAGCAGTCAAGCTTCTTAAATGTGAATATTTTCTGATTTCTGTACTCCTTTATGATAGTAAACTGAATATCTTTGGGTTGTGGACAAAACAAGATATCCGAAGACGTCCTCTTGGGCTTTGGGAAACACTGATCGACATTTTACAGGCCAAACAACTAAATCGATTAACAGAGAAAATAATCGACAGGTTAACCAACGATTAAAACAAGCGTTGGTTACGGCCCTAGAGGGAATCGTACTGACAGGACTGTCACTTCAGAGATGCTCCGGTGTGGCTGCACTTTTGAATACGTTTCTACGTACAGCAAGAACTGAGGATCAGAATCACATTAGGATGGCATCACTTCACAGCCAGTATGAGCAGGAGGGATAATAACTCTTTCACTGTCCACAGGGGCAGCATGTGAGCATTTGACCAAGACAGACCTGAATAAATCTGACCCTTCCCTTTGACCCCACCGCGCTTGTTTTCTCCACCTGCATGGTCAAATGTGAGAACACACAGCAATAAGGGTACACTGATCCCAAATTCAAGCCAGAGCGCCTCTCCAATGGTCCCCATCACAAAGCAAGGCAAGCGTCACCTTTGATTCAGACACTCTTTGAACCTAAAGCAAACATCTACTGCTGTTATAGAGTCAAATGTTTAAAGTCCACGCAGGTCCAGCGCTTCGGTTTCCCCTGATGTGAGACGCTTCTTCAGAACGGATAAAACTGGGAGTAAGGAACACAGTGAAACTTCACCTACAGGTGAGAAAGAAAGCAGTCTGCTGTTCTGGCTCCATGATTTAATCCTCCAGGTCTTTGCTTCAACAGCCAGTGAAACCAACGTGACGATTCTGGATCCATTAGTTCTCCATCGCCATATTGGCACTTGTGTGTCACCCCAGCCCGCCATGCTGATGCAGAGTTTAGGGGAGGGGAGCAAAATCCTTCAGGCCAGCAGATAAAAACCAAACACAGTGTGCTCTGCTGTTTCGGCTCCGTGACTCGAACACCTGAGCACAGCACCCCCCCACCCCACTTCAGCTCTGAGATTAGTCAGGCATGTCGATGCAGAGTTTAGGCGGCGGGACGAAGTACTTCCCGGGGCTCTGTGTGATCACCACGCCGGTCTTCTTGTGGAACATGGGGGCAATCTTTGGCGGCGGCTCGGGGATGGGCAGATCCTCAGCCGCCTCAGGGTCCTCGCTGCGTTGGAGGTCGTAGGACACGTTACCGTACTCGCGCAGGAAGGGGAGGAGCTCCAACAGGAAGTGGCAGAAGTCCTTACGGATTCCAAACCACCCTATAGGAAGACGAGCACAGAGCGGAGCTGAACAGTGCAGCAACAGTAACGACAACTTTGACTGGCCAACTGCAACAGGTGCACAAAAAATTACTTGGTTGATTGGTACCAGCAATTATTCAATTAATCGATCGCAAAACGCAACAATTTGCTGGTTTTAACCAATTAAATGTCAGGATTTGCCGCTGTTCTTTGTCATATGTGACCATAAACTAAATATCTCTGTTTTTTTTAACAGTATAAGACCCAAACAAACAAACAAAAAAAACATCTTGGGCAGTAGGCTGAGCTGTAACGATTAGTTGATTAATCAATTAGTTGGTCGACTGAAAATACTGTCATGTAACTGTTAAGTAATTTTTTACGTCTCTGGGTTTTGGACTGTTGGTCGGAAGATGTTTGCTCGCACTGACGCTAACTGTAACGGTCATTTTTATTAATTTTATAGAGCGATTAACTGATCATGATAATAAGTATTATTTGCTGCCCTAGAACTGACAAAGCTTTTCTGCATTAGAGAATAAGACGGCTAAATGAGTACAAGTTTATATTCTGAGTAGTTCAACATCAGCAAGCTTCGATTGTAGGGCTGCAACTAACGATTATTTTCATTATCAACTAATCTGCCGACTATTTTCACGCTTAATCAACTAATTGTTAAGTCTAGAAATGTCAAGAAATTGTGAAAAATGCTCATCACAATTTTCCAGAGACCAAAGTGACGTCTTCAAATTGCTTCTTTAGTCCAACCAACAGCCCAAAAGCCAAAGACTCTTCATTTACTATCATAAATGACAAAGAATAGCAGCAATTCCTCAATTTAAGAAGATGAAACCAGCTAATTTTTCGAATTTTTGCTTAAAAAAAGAAAATGCCTGAAACAATTAATCGATTATCAAAATAGTTGGCGATTAATTGTCTTTGGACCGACTAATTGAATAATCGTTGCAGACACAAATGAGTTTATTAATACTGTTGATAGTTAAGGTTTCTCTGTTAAAGGAAAGTTATTTACATGTACACTGCTCAAAATAAAGGGAACACTTAAACAACACAATGTAACTCAAAGTCAATCACACACCTGTGAAATCAAACTGTCCACTTAGGAAGCAACACTGATTGACAATCAATTTCACATGCTGTTGTGCAAATGGAATAGACAACAGGTGGAAATTATAGGCAATTAGCAAGACACCCCCAATAAAGGAGTGGTTCTGCAGGTGGTGACCACAGACCACTTCTCAGTTCTTATGCTTCCTGGCTGATGTTTTGGTCACTTTTGAATGCTGCTGGTGCTTTCACTCTAGTGGTAGCATGAGACGGAGTCTACAACCCACACAAGTGGCTCAGGTAGTGCAGCTCATCCAGGATGGCACATCAATGCGAGCTGTGGCAAGAAGGTTTGCTGTGTCTGTCAGCGTAGTGTCCAGAGCATGGAGGCGCTACCAGGAGACAGGCCAGTACATCAGGAGATGTGGAGGAGACAACAACCCAGCAGCAGGACCGCTAACTCCGCCTTTGTGCAAGGAGGAGCAGGAGGAGCACTGCCAGAGCCCTGCAGAATGACCTCCAGCAGGCCACATATGTGCATGTGTCTGCTCAAACGGTCAGAAACAGACTCCATGAGGGTGGTATGAGGGCCCGACGTCCACAGGTGGGGGCTGCGCTTACAGCCCAACACCGTGCAGGTTTGGCATTTGCCAAGAACACCAAGATTGGCAAATTCGCCACTGACACCCTGTGCTCTTCACAGATGAAAGCAGGTTCACAGTGAGCACATGTGACAGACGTGACAGAGTCTGGAGACGCCGTGGAGAACGTTCTGCTGCCTGCAACATCCTCCAGCATGACCGGTTTGGCGGAGAGTCAGTAATGGTGTGGGGTGGCATTTCTTTGGGGGGCCGCACAGCCCTCCATGTGCTCGCCAGAGGTAGCCTGACTGCCATTAGGTACCGAGATGAGATCCTCAGACCCCTTGTGAGACCATATGCTGGTGCAGTTGGCCCTGGGTTCCTCCTAATGCAACACAATGGCTAGACCTCATGTGGCTGGAGTGTGTCAGCAGTTCCTGCAAGAGGAAGGCATTGATGCTATGGACTGGCCCGCCCGTTCCCCAGACCTGAATCCAATTGAGCACATCTGGCACATCATGTCTCGCTCCACCCACCAACGCCACGTTGCACCACAGACTGTCCAGGAGTTGGCGGATGCTTTAGTCCAGGTCTGGGAGGAGATCCCTCAGGAGACCATCCGCCACCTCATCAGGAGCACGCCCAGGCGTTGTAGGGAGGTCATACAGGCACGAGGCCTCACACACTACTGAGCCTACTTTTGACTTGTTTTAAGGACATTACATCAAAGTTGGATCGGCCTGTAGTGTGGTTTTCCACTTTGATTTTGAGTGTGACTCCAAATTCAGATCTCCATGGGTTGATAAATTTGATTTCCATTGATAATCTTTGTGTGATTTTGTTGTCAGCACATTCAACTATGTAAAGAAAGGAGTATTTAATGAGATTATTTCATTCATTCAGATCTAGGATGTGTTATTTTAGTGTTCCCTTTATTTTTTTGAGCAGTGTATATTATCACCACGGTGAGCAGAAAGGAATGCAGTGGAGATATTCAGCAGCCCGCAGCACATTACCAGCTTTAAATACTCACAGTGGTTCCCTCCCTTCTGCCCAAACGTGGTGGCCATGAGCGTGAGCAGCGAGAGCCAGAGCGGGACAAACACACATACGTAGCTCAGACTGTTGTGGCCGTCCAGCTTGTGCACCAGGAGGATCTGAAGAGAGAGATGTGGGAATGTTAACAGTCAAAGGCCATCACTGGGATGAGGCAGCGTCATATTTCTGCAAAGCTGTGTGTGTGTGTGTGTGTGTGTGTGTGTGTGTGTGTGTGTGTGTGTGTGTGTGTGTGTGTGTGTGTGCGCGCACACACACGCAAGAGGTATGGGTTAAATGGAGTATTGTTACACAGAGTCTACTCAATTACCGCCTAAAATGGTTTTAAGATGATCAGAGAAAGATTTTAATGAACCTAAAAGTAGAATTGGATCATTACATGTGCAAAACTACTGTTTAAAAGGAAAAGAAAAAACAATATAGAAATATAAAGTAGGTTTAGTAATTCAGATAAAACAATTTATCATGCCAATAGAAAGTTTCAACAAAATATAAGTGAACAAAAGTAGTAGGGTACTTAAAGTTTTACATGTTTACAGTATTTAAGGATTTTGTTAATTTTCCTACATAAACAGAACAGTAAGGTATTTTTTCTTCTTTACATTTTGTCTGCGATCAAGCCATCTGGTATTCATCATGTCCAGGACATGGAGTTTAATTTGTCATTTAAAAAGACTGCACACATTTTGATTAGTAGAGAGCAGGCTCATTTTATTATTACAATAACTACCTTTAGATCCAACCTTCCTATTAAATAAAAATAAATTAAAAATAGAGGCACTACTACAGTGGGTTATTTAAAGGTTCAGTGTGTAATATTTCTAGGGTCTATCGACAGAAATGCAATATAAGATCCATAATTATGTTTTCAGTGGTGTGTAAAAAGACCTTACATAATGAACCATTATGTTTTTATTACCTTCGAATGACACATTTATATCTACATAACCGTGGGTCCCCCTTTCCATGAAGTTTTTTTTCCCTCTCTTCAACAAATTGATTCTGCAGCGACTGTTTCTCAGATCACGGCATGTGGTGCACTGTTTTGGTTTCAGTGTTCGATCCGCATCCATCAACCCACAGACGCTTTATGATTTCCCCAGTGTCTCCAGGCAGAGGACGTTTAGGGGAATCACGTTTTCAGACGGCTCTTTCAGAGGTGTGTCAAGCAGGCTCTTTTAATGTCGCTCAGAATTTTAGTAAAAGCTCAGTTCAACTCCAAATACAGTATTGCAGAAAACAAGCTTCTTGCACTTTTATTTTGTCGTAAAAAAAACTAAAGAGGAAGTGATTATGTGAGTATTTATTTATTTATCAAAGCACCATAATATGGCAGCGAGCCAGATATTATTGTTGGCGGGCAGTTTTGGTGAGTCCATAATCACAGAGAACACTGATGTGTTTCCCTTGTCAATGTTTGTACAAACTTTATCTAATGTGTGGTTTATAATGGACTGTGATGCAGAAACAGTGAATTTCACACTCTTGGCTCACATTTTCCACGTTATCTTTCAGTGGCAAAGTCGCAGTAACATATGGTTTCACTGAACAATAAAGTAAATAAACTTTCTTAAGAAATATACGTAAAGAAACCTCATTTCTTGACTGGCCACTCACCTTTGGTGCTGTTGTCAGCCACCGTAGCTGTCCTACGCTCTTGGGAGGTTAGGTTAGGGGGCAGTGGTAGACTGGACAGTTGGTTGCAATTCACAACCCTCACCACTAGATGCCACTACATCTTACACACTGAACCTTTAATTTGTGTATGTGTGGACTTAATTGATGGGACAGATATTAAAGAAAAACATTTAAAAGGGTGTAATTTAGGTTTGAGAAAATAAGTCTAAAATGAAGATATAACATGAACAAGACTATTTTCTGTAGTAACAAATAAACAGATCAAATACAATATACCAAATGTTACATATTAACTGTTTTCAACATTGTTGTTTAGCAGGTCAACTTATAAAAAAAAAAAGAAGACTTAAAAATGTGTGCTTTGATGCAACAAATACATTAACTAAATTCAAACCTCAAAGGTGAGAAGGGGCACAACGATGGTCATCCAGCTGATTGCCATGGTAATGTGAGTTCGCCGTTGCTCTGCAATGATGTCAATGGAGCGGAGGAAGAGGACAGACCAGATGATGTAGTAGAGGACAACAAGGCACAGGAAGGACATCAGGATCCACAGCGGGACACACACCACCTACAGGTGTCATGAAGAAGATGAAGGGAAGGACAGCACCATCACAAACAGGGACTTTAAATCTGACCACATGGACGAGGAATAACACAGAGAGTATCCCATCCTGTGAAAGCATAATGAACATATTTAATTAATGTGGAGTTGAAGTGTGTCATCTATTTTGTGTTTGTGTATCTCACCAGCCAAGGCCAGTTGATGATCCTGTCCAGCCTCAGCGCAATGAAGATGAACTGGAGGATATTTACTGAACACAACACCTCCAGCTGAGGAAAAGGGAAGACAAACGTTCAGAGTGTTGTGTCTAAAGGGCTTGTTTTTGTCACTGACAGGCTCAAATTGTCATAACAAGGGTCTGACAACACCGTGGAAAGGATCCTCAAAGAGAAGGACATATTTTTAAAGAGTTAAATTCTTTTTGTTTAACAAGAAACAGTCGTTCTATCACCCTTGTCAAATCCACAAGACTCCCTTGACAAAAATAGTAATTTTACCTCTCTGATTTGCCTCGATCGGTCAGTTTGTGTTATTTATTCTCTTTCCAAAACCTAAAATGGAAATGTCGGTCATGGATTGTTCCTCATGTAATGTTAGTTAGCAAACTTCCTACTGAATGTAACGTAAAAAAGTCTGACTATTCTGCTTTTTAATGATTGTAATAATGAATAGAGGCCTACCCAGCTTTACAGCGTTGATCATTCATATTGTTGTCTTTTGTCTCAATCGTCAGGGGATGCGGTGGTTCAGTTGTACTGTGTGACTGGTAGGCTTTAGCTTCTATCTTTCATTTTTTCACGTCCATTTGAGTCAGTCTGACAGCCTGAATACAACTTTAAATCTATAATGCAACTGCAAAACTGTCTGCTTCTTTGTGAGATCGCTTTTTCCAACAAATGTGACAATATTTGTGCAGTAATAGACAGTGGCAGCGCAGACAGATTGTCGGACTTAGCAACAGTAACTAAGGGGGGCGAAGGGTCAATTGTGGTTTAAACTCTTCATTATGGTCAACACGATGCCACACAGTGGATCACTTCACAAATCTGAGGTAGAACATTCAAAACAATTATGATAAAATCTGTCAACAATTATTCATGAGAAAAATTAAGTTAAAGCTTTTTTCAGTCCTTTTTCGTCAACAAAATAAACATCTTAATTTTTTTTTTTTTATTAAGTCCTAATTCATGTCTGATTCAAGTGAATAAAATCAAATATTTATTGAACCCACAATTCCGTTCACAGCAGCAGCTGCGCTGCATGTTGACAACGTAGCTTTTCAAAACGTGGTGGCTGTCCCTTTACCTGGACCATGCTTGTAAAATATCCACCGTGTCATGATGTGTAGTTTCTGAAGACCAAGAAAAGTCTGTCTGTTGTTTCCCCAACTGCTGGAAAAAGTGAAAGTTTACACTAGCTAACATCTCCCCTTGTTTATTTATTATCTGTTCTGGCTTTTCCATCCATTTGTTCAGAGATATGGTGAAAATAATGGCCCAATGAGATGTGGAATTACATATTTTTCTTTGGAAAATGTATAATTTTTTCAAACCCCCCACCCCTCTGATTATGACTACCACGAAAACATTAATCTAAGCTCACATAAAACTATGGGAAAACAGCTATTGTAATGTGGATCGTGTTGGGGTTTTATATTCAGACATATTACGCACTACACACACAAATTTATTTTTTTCCACTTCACCTCCGCTGCTACAACTCCATCCTAGGGGAAACACTGCATAGTGTTTACCTTTCTCTACATACAGGGACTCTCTCTCTCCAAACACAGACAAACTCAGACTATCTGCCCAAAGCGAGTTTGTACTGATTTCCTACTCCAGTCTCAGTGTATCCTCTCACATTTCAGATTCCTTACCTCGAGGGAGCGGTCGTGTCTAAACCCCCAGACGCAGGCTGCTACAGAAACAGGCGACACGAAGAAGAGCGGCATGAAGACGAGAAGCCAGAAGTAGTTTCCTCTCTCCACGCGGTGGCACACTAACACCTCGAACATCAGCAACAGAACGTGGAGCCCCACCGCGATCAACATGGCTTTGAACTCCACACATGTTTCCCCTTCAGCCCTTACAGAGGATACACAACATTCAAAACATCATCAAGCTCCTCCACACTGACACTAATGATTCTTGTGATTACATTTCAAGGTCCACACTTTCAAGATTATTTAGAAGGCTAAACAAACAAAACAAATCACACACAGTGAAGACATTGGAATAACATAGATGTACAGTAGATGCATGAGTAAGTATGGGAGTGAAGCCCAGTTGTCCCATTAATACCCAACTACTGACCAGTAAGCCATAAATGCCAGTGTGTGAGAGTCTACCTGTACTGGGGGTTGTGTGCCCAGACTCCAGTGCCCACAGAGGCCCCAATGATGACCAGCAGCTTCCACAGCCATATCGGGGTGAACACAGCCCAGTAGTTCCACTGGATGACCCCATCCAGCCTCAAGGACAGCAACACGGAGAACAGCAGCAGGCAGGAGTAGATCAGAAACTTACTGGAACAGGGGACAGAGAGAGACAGATATGACCGGTAACACCAAAGGATGCATCTATGTACCCTGTCAGTGCATTGCTATTTAGGGTTTTGACAGTTACAGGCCCTGGAAGGGGAAACTCGCATTAAGTTAATCAAGATTTTCAATGCAAAGAAGACCGGATGTGTGCACGTGAAGATAGGGGAACATAAAAGGAGGAATGAGAGAAAGTCCACATGGAAATATGTTCCTTAATCAGTGTCCACATTTTAGAAAAGGCAAGATAACGTTTAAAAGAGGAACCTGAATGTTAGGATGATGTTGAGAAGAAGATCGTGTGAGCGTTGTAGGTGCAAATAAAATGAAAAGAAGATGTTGATGAGTGAAAAAGGGGTTTGTAAAATGAACCATGGTAGGATGGAGACAGTACAATGCCAGTCAAAACAGCTGATATTCCCAACCTGCATTATTAACCCTGACTTTAATTAGATTAACGGTGCTGCACACCCTGACATCTCCAACACCTACCTGCCCTCTGATGATGTGAAGAACTTGACTTACCTCACTGAACATAATTTATTGAACACACTGGATCTGTAACCTGTCCATTATTATAAGTGTGTTTTTATGGTTATTATAACAACTTTCGGCTATTTTTTGTAGTTTCTATTCAGGCTGACATTACATTAGGACCTTAAAATGTCTATTCATATCCAACTTGATGTTTTTTTTGAGAAACACTGCTCTGACTTCTTGCAATCTTAAATCTGGCACCGTTGCTGTCGAGGGCCTGTCAAAATCACTGAGCTATTATTACTGTGTGTGCTGCCTAAAACAACCTTGCCTCGCTTTATTAAGCTAACAGCTGGAAACTTGTGTGATCAACGGTCCAAACAGCTGCAGTTAGAGTCTGTTAAATTACAGTTAACTAACGTTATATGTACAGATCGCTTTCGCTAGCAAATCCAAACGCTATCTTGGCTAGCATGCTAGCCAGGCCTTGTTCAGCCAGATAGCTCATCGTTGCTTTAAATACTGTACTAACAGTTCCAGTACATCTCTGTTCGGCTACAAAACATGTGTGTATGAAATGTCACACGTATAAACATGGACATTTTCTGCATGTTTTGGTAACAAACGCTGCCCGGTGTTGCTAAGCTAAGTGGCTACATGACGTTAGTTAGCTGAAGCGCTAGGTGGGAGCTAACGTTAACGTACCTTGGATTGAAGTCCTGAAACAGTCCTCTTAAATTCATGGTGTTAAAACAATAAAAAAAAAAGGCTGGTTATTTAGCCAACATTAGTTCCCCGGGTCGTTAGCTAAATCACCGCCTGATCCGTATGATACACATTGTGATAATGTCGGCGCTGGCTGAGTTTCTTTTCTGCTTCAGTTTCATTACAGCGATTTGTTTTGTCGAAGCCCTCGGAGGTCACGTGACTGTTTCCGACAAGGACCAGTGGATCGTAACAAAAATAATTACATTCAATCAATGCGTAATATGTTAGAGTGGTCTCTTGCAGGATGACACACTTTTATGTGAAAGGCACTTTTCAGCATTGTGACGAACACATGATCCACAAGACTATTATTGTTGTTTTTAAATTGTGTGCATCTGGATCTCAGTGCCTTTGGAAGGCCAGATGAGACTCTTCTTTGTTAGAAAAGTTATAGTTTTCAGTATAATTTTCCATTCATTAAAAAAAAGGGGATGGTCTATTTTCCTTACTAAGCTTTGATGACATTTTTTTTTTGTTCATTCCGGTTTGTACTAAGGCTTTTAGAATTAGGCTACTGTACATTTTTTCTTCCCTTTATTGTTCATCTGGGGAAGAAATGTACCATCACGGATGATGGGATGATAATGATTAATTGGTTACTTTTAATGGGTCAATTTTGGATACACACACACACACACACACACACACATATATATATAAAATCCCCCTCTCACCCCAGAGGCCTGGGAGTTTGAGGGGTTCTGCGCAGTATATCTGTTCCTAGGACTGCACTCTTCTGGACAGAGAGATGTTTTACCTGGAATCTGCTGTAGTCACTCTCCCAGTTTGGGGGTCACAGCCCCCCCAGTGCTCTGATTACCACTGGCACCACTGTTGCTCTTACTTTTCACATCTTTTCTAGCTCCTCTTTCAGCCCTTGGTATTTCTCAAGCTTCTCGTGTTCCTTCTTCTTGATGTTGCTGTCGCTTGGGATTGCCACATCTATCACTGCAGCCTTCTTCTGCTGTTTGTCGATCAACACGATGTCTGGTTGGTTAGCCATCACCAGTTTGTCAGTCTGGATCTTGAAGTCCCACAGGATCTTAGCTCGGTCATTGTCAACTACCTTAGGAGGTGTCTTTCATTTTGACCTTGGGACTTCTAGCCCATACTCATGGCAGATGTTCCTGTACACTATGCCAGCTACTTGGTTATGCTGTTCCATGTACGCACTTCCTGCTTGCATCTTACACCCTGCTGTTATGTGCAGTACCGTCTCAGGGGCATCCTTGCACAGTCTGCACCTGGGGTCCTGCCTGGTGTGGTAGACTCCAGCCGCTATTGATCTTGTACTGAGTCCCTGTTCTTGTGCCGCCATGGTTAGTGCTTCTGTGCTGTCCTTCAGTCCAGCCTTTTACAGCCACTGGATTTCTTGATATCAGCCACATCTTCTATTTGTCTTTGGTACATGCCGTGCAGCGGCTTGTCTCTCCATGTTGGTTCTTCGTCTTCCATGTCCTCACCCTCGGGTTTCTGCTGCCTGAAGGACTCACTAAGCCCTTCATCTATGGGGGCCATCTTCCTGATGTACTCCTGGATCTTTGTCATTTCGGACAATGGTCTTGACACTCACTAGCCCTCGGCCATCAAGCGTGGATAACACCTTAGAATAAATCTGCTGGGCTAGCAGGAAGTGATTTAGTTTATCCTCTCATTTAATGCATAATTTGTACTTTGAGATTTGATAAAGTAGCAATAACATGTCTCGTGCTGCTGCTTACTTCCCCAGGGATTTTTTTGGCACAGATTTACACAAACAACCAGAGCAAAAACAACTTTTATTATTGAACATGATCAATATGAAGAAATAAATGTAAAAACTTTCCAGACAGACAGCTTTCACTTTGAAGTTCTGTTTGTTTTAGTCTGAAACATGTTAAAGCCTTTCTGATTCTGATGAAGACAATGAGCTATAAGGCTCAACCTTGTTGCTTTTATATTATATTATTTATTATAAAAGTTTTGATCGACCAAATATTCTCATCTAAACAAAACAGTACAAGAGAAAACTGGTATTTACAAATCAATCTGCTGCCAAAGCTCAAAGTGAGAATATGAGCTAGTATATAAACAAATGTATAACGCTTCTGTGAGACGAGGGAGAGTTACCTAAAGATTGGCAATTAATGTAAGGTCAGCTCATATTCACAGCTCACATGATATAAACACACTGCAATCATTCGCAAATGTGCTTTATACTAGCCCAATCAAAACACAACACAACAGGTAGAATTTACCATCTGAATAGTAAACACTTACTGAAGCGCAAAATTAACAACATGCAGTTAAATCTTTAAGAGCAAAAGAACAATGCTTAACCAAAGAAAAGACCAACCTTCAAAAATATAAAAATAAAACCTTTGAGGATTATTTAGGATTTAAACGTCCAAACATCTGCAGGCAAAGACAGGTCACATGTTCGATTGGTTTCATCTCCAATACAAAAGTTATGTAAATATAGATGAAATGCTTCTTTGTGGATCTCTCATTTAGTATTTAAATTCTCCAGATGTCACATGGTCGAATAATTTAAAACACTGTCATCAAATCAGGGCAACCAGGCGAGATAAATGGTGCTCTTTTCACTCTCCATCTCAACCCTAAAGCCCTGAACCGGTTGCAAGGGCCCAAAATGGTATAATGGAACAGCATTGCACTTAGCAACACATCACGTTACCTTGAATATTCCAAAACAATTGTGGGTTTTTATTTTTTTTACTTACTTCACAGCAAACGCACTGAAGAGACTGTCTGCCTGATTTGAACTTACTCCAGGATCCTGCCTTACAGAGTGGACCAGAGGTCATTTTCAAATATCAGCCTCGTACACTTACATGTAAACTTCTTTTTGCTTTTGGTTGTTCCTTCCATGTTTGTTTATCTTTTTTAACACCAGTTTCCCCTGGAAACCCTGTGTTTGAGGTTAAATGTGGGAATGCGGACCTATGGAAAGTGTGTATGAAGGGCTCAAAAAGTACACATGTGCACATGATTTTGTGAGTCTGTAAGTGTGGATGTTGGGATTCAGACAGTGTCTCCCAAAGTGCACTTGGGCAAGGCAACTAGACAGAAGACACCATTACAAGCTGGAGGGACAATTAAAAGAAAAGGAATAATCAGTCATTTGTCTCGTCAAATATTATTTATATACAGAAAGAAATTGTATGTTTGGTTTCCTTTACTTTCCAGCACTTAACCATTAGTTAAATACATCGGACGTACTTATTGTTTTTGATGCTCTCAATCCTAATCCCATGATTAGTAAGATGCCAGAAAGAACCAAAACTAGGATCAGACTGTTCCAACTGAACACATCACCTGACAGGAACAAATCACACAGATGATGAGAGCTACTTTAACTTGAAAACAACAAACACAACATGAATCGGATTCAGTGTCAGGCACGGATGTATAAAGTGGATACAGCGTCAGAGGCAGGGCTCTGTTCATTTTTATGAAAGCTGCATGGTGGCGCATGAGGAACTTCCGGGAATAAAATTAGTTAAAGGAAAGATTAGACTTAAATTGTGCGTCACACTGTAAGTCTATGAGAGAAAGTCATTTGGGGGCAGTGTGCATCTTGTAAAAGTTTAAATCCACTATTTGGACACTATCAAATGCACTTCAAAGCCCAGCACATTTTGGGCTTGGTGTCAGGTTTGACAATCCAAAGTACTACAAAAATTAAAGTTAAAATCTTAGAAATTTCAGATCTGACACACTCAGAAGCACCATAGTTAAACTCACTGAAGGAGTTTTTGGTTTCATTCTTGTAACACTCAAAGTAGGTGTAGTATATAAATAACTCAAACTTGGTAACTCTACCATCCATCCACCCATCGTCAACCGCTTATCCTGCGTACAGGGTCGCGGGGGCTGGAGCCAATCCCAGCTTACATTGGCCGAAAGGCGGGGTACACCCTGGACAGGTCGCCAGTGTAACTCTACCAGTAACAATTAAAACTACTTTAAAGAGTTAATTTCAGAATTTGAATATATGGTGAACACATAAAGAGTAAATGGGGATTGATTTCAAAGTTGGCATTCTCTCCTCCTCACAGTTTTATTTTCTCACCTTTATCATCTGTCTCTTTCTTCGGATAAGAATTTTGGAGACTTTTGGGCTGCAGTGGCGTCCCTGTTGTCCAGGCTTTGGATGAGTTTGACTCTGGAAAAGATTTGTACTGACTTACATGACAATATTCAAAAAGGGAAAATTGCATTGTTTTATTGGATCAGCAGCAACAAACAAGAAACGTTTAACAGATATTAGAGGCTCTGATTTTGCATGTTTTTTTTTTTTTGTGTGTGTCACTAATATGGTAAATACATTTTATTTAAAACATTAAAAATAATCTTCTGTGGACCATAAACAACATTAACTTCGGGATGTAACATTTGTATCTCGCTTCGTCTGCAAGCGTCACGTTAATGATCTTGAGCGATATGTTGCCTTGTCTCAGGCCATCTGTGAACAGCGCCGTCCTGCTGATGTACGATGACAGCTTCATGTCCAGGACCTCACGGCTGTCCCGGTAAACATGCACATATTCAACCCGGCTCAGCCGATCAATGGGGTCTGGCTTGAGGTCGGGCTTCGACCACTCCACCGTCAGCCCCGCCACGTTGACCTGAGGCTCCACATGACACGGCAGGATGACATCATCACCTGGAGTAGCCACGATTGGCTGAAATGAACCAACCACCTGAAACTGACCTGGGAAATGGAGGAAATGTTTAAACCTGGTTAAACCAAGTTAAGTCTGGAATCTGCTTCGCTGTAGCCTATATTAAAACATCTCCAGTTGTATTATCTCCACTACTGTTTCTAAGTCTAATTTCTATTTTCCACTACTGGCGCAATGGATAACACTATGCCTTTGTGAGAGACCCGGATTCAATCCCCCACTGTGACCCACCCACCATTGTGTCCCTGAGCAAGACACTTAACCTCTACTTGCTCCAGGGGCTTGTGACCTCTGACATGTATAGCAATTGTAAGTCGCTTTGGATAAAAGCGTCAGATAAAAATGAATACTAATAAGTTTTTAACTGTGGTGTTCCAATGTGACATCTTCAAATTTATTTAGTCAGATCAACGGTCTAACCCAAAGATATTCAGTGTACAAAGATATGAAATTAAAAACTAAGC